TCAGAGCTGGGTTTCAATTCAGCTCTACTACTTAACTAGTTGTGTGACCTTAAGCAAGTGACTCATCCTCTCTCTGCCTCAGTTTCTTAATCCCTAAACTCCCTGGTACCCATCTAGCAGGGTCATTATGACCACTGAACGAAGGACTTCCAGGAAAGCTGGTAAACTGACGAGCTTAATAAGTGGCAGCTGCGATGATGATGATGGAAGGCAAAGGGAGAAGAGAAGGAAAAGCAGCAAGACGAAGAGCAGGAAGAGAAGGAAGAGAGGCAGGAAGAGGAACAGGAAGAGGAGAATGACAATGATGGTAATTATGAGACAGAGTAACCAAGAGGTCACAAATGACAGTGATGAGGGTTAGGTTAGGATGCAATAATTTGGGGTGAGCACGAGGTCTTCCTGGCCCTCACAGGGAGAAGGAGCTGTGTCTGCTGGCGATGGCTGCCAAGGAAACGGGATCCTAGGAGAGCTGGTCTTGGGCGTGGTGAGGAGACTGCACGGAGGGGACCACGGTTGCTGGCTAAGCAGCAGGAGGCCTGCGCTGAGTCTCCTCAGAGGCGGGCTGCTGCCCAGGCCGGGCTCCTTCCAAAGACCATCCAAAGGCTCCGCATCCCTCTCAGGCCTGAACAGAGTATAGGTTTAGGTGCAGATGGACATTCAATCCCTATCTCAGGCCTGGTTCAATAAGGCCTCATATTTGGGGACCTGGTAGCCTTGTTTGCCCTGGGGACTTCCCAGCTATTAGTCCACCTGCTGCCTTTTACCGGGAGCAGGCCTAGTCTCTCTCTCCTCTAGGCCTGGCCTCTGACAGCTGCTTCTGGGTGACCTCCTAGGCTACGCCCTATAGCCTAGACAGAAAAGTGTTCCACTCCCCAGTGCAACTGGGCTTCTCTAAAATCAGCACCACCACCAATAAAAAATAACAAGTAACATTAATAACTGCCATAGATTGAGAACTTAAGTTCTCTGTGCTAGGTACTTCTACATTTCTTCTTAATTGTTAGAACAATGCTGAAAAATGCACAGTACTAATCACGCACTATAAAGATGAGACTCAATCTAAAAGGGCTAGGTAATTTGCCTGAGATAACCCAGCCAATAATGACAGAGTCTGAATTTAAACTCAAGTCTGTGTAACTCCAAGGCCTAAGCCATTTTCCCCTCTTAAACTGTGTTGTCACTCCCCAATTCAGGGACCTGGTCACCCTGTATATGAATGTGGGGCCCTGGCTGGACTCTTAGATTCTGCCCTTCCTCCCTCCCTCTCCAGGGACTGACTAAACTGTAGCTAGAAGGTCAAGACTGCCCAGAGGCCAACTGCTCCCTCCCCACCCTTCTGCTCTCCCCTTCCCCTGCTGTGCGGGGACCACATCCAACCAACCCAGCCAGGCCTTGGCCCGCTCGCTGAATCCATGTCCTGTCGGAGGCTGCTCAGCAATGAGGCCAGCTTTCCAGGTTCAGAAGTGAGAAGGAGGGGGCAGGAGGATGGGGCGTCTCCATCCTTCATCCAACACCAGGAGGAGAATGCACAGGCCGCGGCGTCTGAGACAATACACAGCACGCCCTGACACATCGCCTTCATGTGCCATGCTCTGTCCACACAGAAGGCGGCGTGGTCTCTTGGCCTCTGCACCTGCTTTTCCCTTCGCTTGTAACACTGCCCCCCTGACTCACTCCAGCTCAGGAGTGATTCCTCCAGGAGGCCTTCTCTTGTCCCCAGGGCTGCTTTAGGCCTCTCTCCACCATAGAACCTACCACACTGCACTCAAGTTTTGAGACTGCCTCTCCTGCTAGACTGTGAGCTACTTCAGGTTGGGAACAGTGCTTCATGCCTCTTTGTATTCCCAGGGGCCAGCTTAGCGCTTGCACAGAGGAATCTCACTAACGCTGGTACGGGAGCAAGTGCCGGGCACCACTGCAAAGGCCCCTCTCAGAGGACTCGCAGGTAAGCTGGAGGCTGCCTCCTCCTACCAGGTCTTACAAACAGCTGCACCCCACGGCCCTGGCTCCACCCTCCCTCCGCCCCTCTGTGCTCCTCCTGCCCATCCACTGGTGCTCTTCTGAGCTGCCCTGAGCACAGCATGCTGGGTGCTCCTACCTCTGCTTGCTGGCTTGGTTAATGCTTTTGGGATCTGGGAGATAAAGGGCCTTTTTGTAACTTGTTTGGAGTTATCGGAGCTACTGTCCAGTGAATCAGGAAACCAAATGGCCACAAATGGTGAAAAGGAGAGGTCCCAGGTGGAGGAAGAAAGTACGACCAGCCCTGGCAACAGGTTGTTTGGTTTTCCTTTCCTACATATTCCCCCTTCCCATGTCCCATCAGGACTCTTGGCTACTAGAAAGTTACATGCTGTGACTGCTCACATAGCAAGCAGTAGGCGGCAGCCATGACTTCGGCCTAATACCCGTTCCAGCCCTGCTTAGCCAGGGCTTGGCTCCAGAACACAGAGTTGCCTCCTGCCAGAATTCTGCAGGTGAGGCTCCAGACAGATGTAGGTAGCTCTCCAGCAGCCTCACAGTGAGAAACACCATTGCAGGAGCAGGACAAGCCCGTGGCAGGACCTGGAGAAGCAGCCTCTCTCACTTACCTGGGTCTCAGACACCAGAGGAACGAAGGAGAGCATGGGAGAGGTGCTACGAATGCATTAGCCCTGGGCACTAAAGAAGAGGCCCTGAGGCAGCCATAGGGCCTGGGCAGGTCCCCTCTGGGCGCTGGGGGGAGGTGAGGCCAAGGGCATCACTGGCATCCCTCTGGCAGCTCACTCTAAAGGCTTTTGACTTTGACTTTGCCTTTGGAGCCAGGGAAGGCCTACAGCACTTCAGAGGACTCCTCTCTGTCTCCTCTCTCCCCTCGCCCCCACCCACGCTGGGAAGGAGTTCTCACCAATACAAGGCTGGCCCTGGATCCCTGCACAGGGCCAGGATGCACAGGAACATCAGCAAGGTGAGTGTGTGCCTGTGCACACCCCACACTTCCTCATCCCACTGCTCTGGTACCTTGGATCTGCCTGCCGCCAAGGCCAGGCCAGGCAGAGAGCTCCGCGGTCGTCCTGGGAAAGCGAGGCCCTGCTGACTGCTTCCTGAGTGGCCTGAGGATAGTGAGTCCTCTGACTCTAGTTGGCTTCCTTCCTTTTCTTCTTTCTTTCATTACTCCCTTGGATGAACAGTAAGAGCCTTAAATTAACTGACCTTGGTGTTCTTGGAAGGAACATGGGATAACACCCACCTGGCTGGCTCTGACCCACCCCATGGCATGGCCTTATTTGGACTACCTGGCTTTTCCGAGTCTGCACAGTGGGAAGCAGGAGCTGGTGTTTGAGCCCATTCCAGATCATTTATGGGGACTGGGCACTGAAGAGTAAAAACCAATGGGATCAGGCCCTGCCCCTGGGAGCTCCTGCTCTGAGGGAGGCGTTGACAAGTGTCCATGGGCAGAGGGAAGGATGTGCCAGGAGGAGGTGGGCAGATGGGCAGAAGGCCGCAGTCACCAAGCAGCCTCCAAGCTTGCTGGCTTTCCCCAAGGCAGACCCAATTTCCTCCCATTTCTCCCTTAAAAGTGCCTATCTGTGACCCTACTTCTATTGCCCTCAAGGCAAAGAGAAGGGGTCTGAGGACACTAGTGTCTCAGGCCTCAAGGTTCCAAAAACAGCAGGGTACTCCCCCAGCCCCACCCTCTGCCTAGTTTGCATGGGCAGTGCGCCTGCTTGAAGCTGGAGCTGGCTGGAGCCAAATGCTCACATTGCTGCCTCGCCCTTTCCTTCCCTTTGGGGAGCAGGACTGGACCCAGGGGAGCCCAGCTGCCTCATTCACCTGGTTCTGAGACGGGCTCCCCTTCCCCACTGTCCCACCTACCTGAATTTCTGGACCTCACTTCTGTCTTCTCTCTTGCTTGCTACCTACTTGACACTGCCTCCACTTGGCCTTGCTTGGTAAAGAGCTGTGTAGTTAAACCAATTGCACTGAGACCCCCACAGTAACCTGTTCCAGCCCCCAACTCCTCCCTCAATCTTCAGAAAGAGCTAGCTCCTTACTGCAGGCGGAGGGCCATCTGTCATCCTCCCCATCTGGTAAGAGGCTTGGGTATGGGAAGATGAATGGCCTGAGCTCAGCAGTACCCTTCCCCTGGGGTTGCTGGTGACAGCCAGTTGAGGAGGGGGTGGTGGACCTGGACAAGTTGGTGGGTGTCCCTGTAGGCCCAGCACTGGAAATAGAGGTCTCAGGAGGGGACTCAGTGGGTGGTCTACCAAAGAGCTGTCTCACCCTACTCTGCCACGTAAGTTTCCAAAAGAAATAGACCCAGACCTTTGCCTGCCTAGAACAATAAGTAAAGAATCTGATCATTCCTAAAGAGTAGAACCAGACTCAATGGCAGGCAGGTTGGGGACTTAGCTACAGGAGAGTGGTAAAAGTACAAAGTGGAGAGAGGCCAGGACTTATGAATTTGGGAGCTGGCACTCCCGAGCTGAGGATCTGCTGCTCCTGCAGAATGGCTGGTTCCAGGGCCCCAGTTAGGCCTTCCTACCCCAGCTGAGAAAGAGGCCAGGCCCTGTAAGACCAGAGTCCGAGAGACCTCACAGGGGCTAAGAGGGAGTCCAAGAGGCAGCTACAAGGTCAGGGCTGGAGAGTTTGAAGATCAGGAGTGATACTGAGCCTGGTCTTAGAGACAGCTTCCCGTCCCCAGGGATCTAAGGCCAGCGAAGGGCACCTGGCCCAGGGAAGCGCTGTTGGGTCTGGTAAGAAGGCTGAGAAAGGACCTGCACCTGGGTAGCTGGAGGCAGGTGGCAGACATCAGGCATATTAGCTCCAAGAGACTGGCCAGTGACCCTGGCATCTCCTGGCCTCTCTGTCCCTTGGTTGTGTTTGGTGCCTTTCAGCTTTGGGTCACTAATGCTTCTTTTGGAGGATCCTACTTGTTCTTTGCTGGGTTAAGGGGGAAAGACTGCCTGAAAGTTGGAGAAGGCCAGGGCAGGAAGGCAAGGAGTTGGTGCTGGGGTGCTCACCACTCTCTCCTTGAAGACGATGTACTTCAACCATTTGAAGTCTTGCCACTTGAAGCCAGCGAGGACAAAGAGAGAGTCTCGTTCGTATTGCTCAGGCCGCTGCATGGCGCCCTCAGGGTAGGTGATGCGCAGTGTTGTTTTGCTGCCCACGTCTTTCTCAAAGCCTTTCACTGGTGCTGAGTTCAGTCTGCAGAGAGCATGCCCAGTCAGAGCCTGCCTGGGGCCTGTGTTTGGGGAAGCATCAAGACCCCAGAACACCCCAGGTGCAGAGAATAGGGAGTCTAGGTCACCTGGTGCCACCTAGTTGTCTGTCCCAAGCCCTCCAACCCAGGGTTCTTGAGGCTTCTGTTGGCCTCCAGCCCAACTGGCCAGATGGACACATAGTCCTCAATGGGCTCAGGATCAGAGTTTGGGCTAGGACACTCAGGTGTCCAAGGTGCTGCTTTGGGGAGCTCACCTGACCACAATGTCGTAGTCATCAATCCGTGACCCCAGAGACTTGTTGGCAAGGACACCTCCATTGCCCACGATGATGCAGCGGCGGCAGTGGAGGCTGAGTGGAGAGAGATGGAGATTCTGTTGGGGGCTGCCCTCTGGTCTCTTCCCCTGCCCCTTTGGCCCCTGACCCCATGCCCTTGGCCAGGACCAGGCTGAGAGACAGGAAGAAGACCCATGGGCTCTTGGCAGCATTTCTGAGAGGAGGCCAGAACCACACTGTGGGTAGCTGGGCCCTGGGACTCTCTGGCATCCCTAGTCCCTGATATTTCCCCAGGAAAACGGGGGCATGGAAAGGCTTGGGTCTCAGCCTTGAGTAGTGAGGAGGGGGCTCTGGTAAAGCAGCATTCTAGGGTGAAGTTTCCCCAATGGTTAGTGGGGTTTAGGCAACGGTCTGAGCTTGAGGCTAAGCCAGGAAAGCAAGAATGGGCGAATGGGAATGGAAGCTCCAGGACTCAAAACTCGGCTTAATCTCAACTCAGAAGCCTCTACGCTGTTAGCAGCCACCAGCGAGCCTACGCACTTTGTTTCTCCTGCCACGACCTCCTGGACATAAACCCTGTCCCCATCACCTTCCCCCACCACCCAGACCGCAGTCCCACTGCTGGGCTGATCTCAGGCCCAGTGTCTTCAGTTCTCACCCTTAAAGCTCTGACGTCTGAGCACTGAGATGTCCTGCCAAATGCTGACAGCCCTCAGGGATGCAAGTCCAGTGGAGTGGTCCCACTTGTCTGCTCCACCCACCCCAGGTGTGCACTGTACGTGCCAGTGAGGACATGTTGAACGGGCCCATATCAGGGAATGGCCAGTTGGCCTCCAACTGCTGCACATGTCAGGCAGCCGGGGCAGGAGGCTGGGCAGTGAGTGGCTCACCTGTCCAGGGCAGGGGTCAGGCGGTATTCTTTGGTGACTGACAAGATGGCATGGATCAGATTGTCTGTGGACAGAGGAGGGAGTTCCTGTGAGAGGGTCACTTAAGTTTCCATAAAAATGTTTGCTGATAACCCTACTTGAAGGCACAAGTTCTCAGGGCTAGAGTGAAGGTGGAAGTGGGGAGAGGGTGCTCTGGACACAAGGTCAGGCTCGGCCACTGCCCTAACTTTCTCCCTGAGAAAGGAGATGAAGACAGGAAAACAGGCAGGCATATCTCCACTGGGAGCCAGGCCCTTGTGCTGGGATACAGGTTCTTTTCCAGGGCTGCTTCACCTGCCCTGGTTTTCTGAGGCTCTGTAGTCAGGCCCCAGGACATGCACCCCCAGGCCACAGCCTTGCCTGGAAGCTGAAGCGTATGTCTCCCCCAAAACAGGAGTACCTGATCAGGGCTACAGACCGTGTTGTGCTTACCTGTGTCCTCACCAAGCAGACACCAGGAAACAAATGAGGAGACACCCAATGCCTGAAGAGCTCACCCTGGCAGACCACCTGTCTCATTTTCTGATACCACCATCCACTCACTTCCCCCTCTTACATCGCTAATCTCCAATGCTGCTCTTGCCAGCATCTGCCCACCTGCGCTGCACTCGGGCTGCTCTCAGCAAGGACACCGTGACCTCTGTGCTCTCAGATCTTGTGCTCTATGCAGACCTCGTCTTCTTGGCCTCTCTCTGCTTTGACAATAAGGACTGTTCTCCTTTCAAATTCTGGCATAATGAGAGCATTATAATACATTATACTATATAATGTGTAATAGGGGAATTGGCTTTGGAGTCAAATCCTGTGACCTTATGTAAATCACTTTCTTTGAGCTTTAGTTTCCTCATCTCTAAAATGAAGATGGTAAATTCCTACTTTGCAGTGTTGTTAGGAAGATAAAAGATAATGTACATAAAGACCTAATGATAAAGTAAATTGGTACCACCACAATGGAGAACATCTTAATAATATCAAATAATAATGTAGAAATACACACACTAAGAGCCTACAACTATACTTCTAGGGGTATAGCATTTAAACACACAGTTGTTCAAGGAGACTTGTACAAGAATGTTCACTGCAGAATTGTTTGTAATGGCAAAACGTTGGAGGCAACCTAAATGTCTACCAAAGGAAAACAGATAAAATATGGTACACAGAATACTACACAGAAGGTGACCTAGATAGAGCTATATGTACCAATACAGAAATCTCAAAATCATAAGCAAAAAAAATCAGCTATATGCACATATGTATACATACAATGACAGTATCTATAAAACTTAAGAACATGCAAAAGCAATACCATATTTTTACAGGATATATAAATATGTAGTAAAAACATAAACTAAGCATAGCAATGCTGACAGCAAAACCTGGATAAGGGCCTCCTGGGGAAGGAGGATGGGGTGGGAAGGGCTACGTGGAGGCTTTAATTGTATCTCTTGTTTTATTTCTTAACCTGGGTGGAAGGTGCATGAGTGCTAATTATATTATTCTTTATACTTTTTTGTATGCCTGAAATATTTCATGTAAAGAAAGGATGCCTTTAAAATTAAAAACAAACACAGTTTTCGAAAGGAGGGGCAGAGACACTATCAGATGCAGCCAAGAGGCCAAGGACTGAAAAGTGTCCTTTGGACTTCACGAGGTCACTGACAGTGTCACTGGATTGGGGGTGGGGAGTGGAGATGTTCTATAGGAGTAAATGGTGAGAAAGATGAGGCAGTAGGCACAGCTAACCTTTCCAGAAGTTGGCTAAGGATGGGGAAAGAAACAAACCTTTAAGTGCCTTCAGATATACATTACGGTGGGCTTCAGGGAAGGCCACAGATTCCCTCCTTTTCCTACCTCCAATTGCACCTCTAAGGAAAAGCATATTGCTACTGATTGGCCAAGGTCAAGGATATGAATGGGGCTTTGTTTTCCTGGAGGAGAACCTCAGCAGAAAGGGCACACACTACCAGGTGCTCTCTTCCTGCTGGTCGATGGGCTCCACACTGGACTTTCCTGGCCCTGGTAGTTGCACGATCAGTCTCCAGGGGGGATCAGAGGAAAGAGTGCGCTGCTTGGCTACCTGCGTCCAGGGAAAAGGAGTTCTTCATGTTGTTCAACTCATTAGATTTGACCTTCGAGGTTTGAGGTCAAAGCTCCATTTCACAGTGTTTTTGCTGGCCACTGCTTCTTTACAGGGAGGAGTGGGCAGGCTGACTGGAGGGTTCAGGTATTCTTGAGTCTCCTGGCCAAATAACATCACCCTTCAACAGTTATTTTATTTAATTCTGACTACAACCTTGCACAATAGCATTATTCTCACAATTTTTTTTTTTTGAGACAGAGTCTTGCTCTGTTGCCCTGGCTAGAGTGCTGTGGCATCATCACAGCTCACTGCAACCTCTAACTCCTAGGCTCAAGTGATCCTCCTGCCTCAGCCTCCCAAGTAGTTGGGACTACAGGTGTGTACTACCACGCTGGCTACTTTTTTCTATTTTTAGTAGGTCTTGCTCTTGCTCAGGCTGATCTCAAATCCTGACCTCAAGCGATCCTCCCACCTCGGCCTCCCAGAGTGCTAGGATTACAGGTGTGACCCATGGCGCCTGGCCTCTCTCCATTTAACTGATGAAGAAACTAAAGCACAGGTAGGTAAAATAAGGTCACAGCTAGTAAAGAGGCAGTATGGGAATCTGATCCCTCTGTGTCTGACCCTAAAGCCCAAATTCTTTTCTGTCATGTCATGAAATAGTACAGGAACTTGACAAAGAGGCACAACTGTTAAACTATTAGGGATGGGAAAGTCTTTGGTGAGAAGGGAGCTATGTGGGTGGGTCTCTAAGGCATTGGAATGGGAGTTTCTGAGAGAGTGGGGAAAAGGTTAGCCGTGACCAGGATAAGAAAGGATTGGGGAGAGACCAGGTTCAGGTGAGAAACATCAGGAGGTGCTGTGGGAGGAGCCTGGGTGCATTCTGGGGAATGGCCTCATCCTACCCAGTGCTCTAGTGTTAGTGACTCTGGCAGCCATCTGTGATCTCACAGCTCTCGTAATAGCCTCGCCAGAGTCCTACTATCCTGCACCCTGAGTATCTGTATCTCTACTAGACTGGAGCCACATCTGTCTACTTCACTGTTGTATACCTACCCCTGGCCAAATGGTGTGCTCTGAGTAAATATCCCATTAAAGAAGTAAGAGAAAAGGAAGGAAGGCAAAGAGGGAGAGAAGGAAGTGTTGAGAGTGGAGGATGGGTGGATCCCCAGCACGGGGACTTCTGAGCACATAGCTCTGTCTGGAAGGATAGGGACACAGTCTGGGGGATGTGATGTTAATGTAGGTCAGGGTTCCCAACATACCTTGACCTTTGATCCCAAATGGTGGCACAAACTCCCGGATTCCAGCCCACTTGCGAAAGGAGTCATCCAGGAACATGGGTGCTGGCTTGGAGAACCTGGAATACAAACGCTGTTGAGGATCACAGAACTCAATAGGCTGGAGTCCTCGTTGGCTCTTCCGTGCTTCGGTCCCGGCTATGGACCTGCTGGAACCCCTGACATTCCAGCATACCCTCCCTACCCCACCCAGCCTGTTCACTGGGCGGCTGCTGAGGAGTGTCACAGATCTTGCTCAGTGGAGCCTGAGTCTGAAGGAGCAGGCCTGGTCAGTCTTTATGTGGCCAGCTGTAGGAGTGGAGAGAGAAGATTTGCTCAGCAAGGATCAACACTCAGAGCTGGAAGCTCTCTGGAAGTTTATCCAGGCATCCATCAAATAGTTACCGCTGCCCACACTGTTCCTGCAATCTGGGAACACGGAGATGAGACACTGTCCAGTCGAGCAGAAAAATATCCAAAAATACAGCCAGTGCAGGGAGATAATTTTGGAGAGAATTCTGGGAAGTGGACCACCCAGGGTGAGGAAGGAGAGTTCACATTGAGAGGGCAAGGCAGGTTACAAGCTACAGGAGACAGAAGTTTGGTAGAGAAGAGAAAGAAAAAGCAGAGTGCTAAGAAGCAGGGCTGAGAAGGCGGTTTCAGAGCAGTGGGATGTGAGCGCCTTTGTTGGTAGAGAGAAGGAGAGAGGGAAAGCTAAGTTCCTGTGGGGGTGGGAGAAGGATCCGAGGTTGAAGGGGAAGGTTTAACTTTGGCCTGGAGGAGAGATGGGAGGGAAAGGGGGAGAGAAGGAGGGTGAAGTGATGCTGAGTTGGGGAGAAGTAAAAAGGTTTTACCCTTTTTGGGCAGGGCGGGGGCACGCTTGGGGAGGAAGGGATGCAAAAGGAAGTGAGGCGCAGAGGGAAAGCTACAGGACCACTTAGGCTCTTCAGAGATGCTCGAAGAACATGACTTCACATGGAAGCTGGCACTCTGGCTTGGGGACCCTTTTCAGGGGACCTGGCAGCTCAAAAGTTGGCCGGCCAGTACCTCTGTGTGCTGAGAGTTCCACAGGCTCCTGCTTAGGACCTCTCTGGCCAAGAATGAATGTGTGGAGGCCTAGGCCTCAGTGACTCTGTCTCTGTACTTCTAACTCAACCCCAACCAGCCCTCTGAACAACTGGAGGTGGCAGGAGAGGCCCTCCAAGCCCAGAAGCTGGAACTGCATCCATTTCGCATTCCCATCACCACCAACACCACTATTACCACCATTCCCAGGAGGAATAAAATCGGTAAGCACTCGGAGGCCTAACTGTATTAGAGATTTTGATGTGAACTTGAAAGAAGCAGAAAACTTTCAATCCTGCTCCCTCCCTCATTGTTCTTGCTAGGAAGATGTCAATACTTGGGAATGTCGAAAGGCTATTCCTAACGGCCTACCTTTGGACTTCTGGGTCCCAGCAACTGAGGCAGCATGCTTACTCTCTGTATAAAAGGGTAATGCATATTTTGTGTGCCTAGTATATAAAATCTAAGTAAATTAATACATTTGATGTTTTATTAGAGGGATTGAGGATCCTGGCCATGGTCTATGTATTAGATCAAAGGACACAAGGTCCCTGGCTAAACCTGCATCAAGAACCTCTCCTTCTGTGTCACGACTGAGCTTATAAAATTTTCGTGAAGTTTCTCAGAGTCAAGCTCGGACAGGATTTTATCTGTTTCCCAATATGTACTGGATGTCATATGCTAATAAAATCTCCTAAGATCTAGCCAAATAATCTCAACATATTTTTTCCTTTTCCTCTCCCTCCCCCCTTCTTTTCAGATGGTTAGACAGTTCATTATACTAATTTTTACTTTTAAAAACATCTTGTTTTTTTGTGTAGCCTGCAATATGTGTTAATTTTAGAAAAGATACAGATAAGCACACACAAAATAAAAATATCCATAATCATGCTTGAGCCCGGGAGCTGAGGTTATAGTGAGCCAGGATTTCACCACTATACTGCAGCCTAGGTGGCAGAGTGTGGGCATGTCTCAGAAAAAATAAAAAAAATCATAATCACAACTACGAAACAAACTTATGGCTATTATCCAATGATTTCCTTTTCCAATTATTTATTATTTGTGCCTGTTGTCTGTGTAGGCTCCCCTTCTCCTAATACAGAGACTGGGTCAAACAACAAAACCCGTAAACTGCTGATAATGCAACATGAATTAGCCAAAAAAGGGAAATGTAAAAAGATGGACAATGAAATACTATGGGCCAAAAAGCAGGAGTAGCCATATTATTAATGGCCAAAAAAAGTTCTTGGGACAGATCATGGCAAAAAATATTAAATGGGCCTGATAAGAGTTTCTTAAAAATCTTTGCCTCTAGTATGTAACTATTATCTCTGCTTTGTATGTCTGGTTCAAAAAACTTTCCCACTTCGCTTTTATTTTACTGGAGGCCTTCATGTTTTGGATGCTCTCTCTGCAGCTTCTCTTTCTATTCCCTGAAAGAGCAGGGTTTTCTCTACATTTCTTCTCTAGATTAGTGTACCTCTTTGCAAGGCCTTTCTATAATATTATATATAGTATATATATTTTATAACTTTATTAGAGTGAGGAAATTTCAGCCTATACAAAAGTGACCAAAAAAAAAAAACAGTACAGTGAACCCCTCTCTCAAGTCATCACCCCGAGATTCAGCAATTTTCAATTATGGTCAATTTTGCTTCCTTTATGTCCATACTTTCGTATTTAATCCTTTAACCAGATTATGCCTTTCATCTATATTTCAACATTATATTTTAGAAGATAAGGACACCTTAAAAAATAACTACACCCTGCCGGGAGGCGGACTGTACTGCGCAGGGGTCCGCCTTGTTAATCCTAGCCTCTGGGGCCAGGCCGGCGGTTGCTCGGAGGTCAGGGTTCGGAAACCAGCCTGGCAAGAGCAAGACCCTGGTCTTCTACTTAAATGAAAGATTATTGGCCGCTCAATCTATTATTCGGAAAAAATTTGCCGGTTCATGTGGTGGCTAATGCCTGTTAGTCCAGCTACTCGGGGGCTGAGGGCGAAGGGTGCTTGAGCCAGGAGTTTGCAGTTGCTGTGAGCAGGCTGATGCCCAGCACTCACTTGTTGGGCAACAAAGTGAGACTCTGTCTCAAAAAAAACCCACCAAAAAACAAAAACATAATACACCCAACAGTCCTACTTAAACATTATAATGCTAAAAAATTAAAACTTTTCGTTCAAATAGCAACACACTCAATCAGTTAGCAGATCTCTCCTACTGTCTGATTAATGTTTGTTATTAATGTTTGTTATTGATTAATGTGTTGGTTAGTTTATTTAATATTTGGTTTGTTTAGTAAGAATGGAGCTGTCTACACATGTATTTGGCTTGACTTTGCTTGTCTCTTAAATTCCATAGGTTTCCTCCTTCTCTTTTTTCCCCTTATAATTTGTTGCTAAATAAAATGGGCTATTTGTCCTGTAGGTACTCCCTACATTCCATCTTTTTTTTTAATTTTTTCTTATTTTTTTTGAGACAGCGTGCTACTTTGTTGCCTGGCTATTGAATGGGCCGTGGCGTCGCCCTAGCTCACAGCACCTACCTCTGGCGCTCAGAATTCTGGCCTCAGCCTCTCAAGTAGCATGGGTACTATGGCATGTGCCACCCATGCCTAGCTAATTTTTTCTATATATATTAGGTTGGGCAATTAATTTCTTTTAATAATTTCAATAGTAGAGACAGAGAGGTCTGGTCTTGCTCGGCTGGTTTCGGACCGAGCTCGAGCAATCGGCCGCCTCGGCCTCCAGAATGCTCGCGCTCTCAGGCATGAGCCATCTCGCCTGGCCTCCATCTTTTTCTGAGTGCACTCAGATGTTGTTCAGTATGTTCCTGTCTCTTGCACTCTGTAAACTGGTGGTTGGATCTGGTTTACTCTTTGGGCAAGAAGACTTAATAACAGTCTTCCAGCGTGCCCTCGGAGGTACATACACATGGGCATGTCCCTGTGATGTTAAGATTGAACACTGGGTTCAAGCAGTCTGGGCTGGAACTTATAAAGTTCTCAGCAGCTTTGAACACAATGCTTGCAGCAGCCATTAAGGATCACTACCTAAATCCATTCTTTCTTTAGAAGATGCTAGAATACTTCTATAAACTTTCTGTCATCAACTCTTTGGTTATCCTTGGGCACTGGTCATACAGAAAAGATAAATGCTTGATTTTCTCCCTATATTTATCAATTTTCAGAATAATGAGCTGATTCCTTAGCACCCTCCAAAGGTGATTAATGAAGGTTTCAATCATTAGGAATTCATACATTTTAACATATTTGATGCATGTCAATCTATTGTAATCGTTGTTCTTCCTGATGCATAGATTATCCCATCTTTGGCCAGTGGAGCCTTTTCAACCTGGCTCCTGAATCCTTTGGACACGCCCTAGTAGTCTTTGACAATGTCTTGGTTTTCTTGTATGAAAAGATGTTCCAGACTTACCTTTGCACATTTCATTCATTTTTTTTTTTTAAAGAGATGAGGTCTTGCTCTGTCCCCTAGGATGGAGTGGAGTGGTGCAATCATAGCTCACTGTAGCTGGAATTCCTGGGCTCAAGTGATTCTCTCACCTCAGCCTCCCAAGAAGCTGGGACTACAGGCATGAGCCACCAAACCTGGCTCTATCTTGTACATTTCTTGGTCCCACCTGGTCATTTTTCCAAGGCACCCTTCTTCCTTTTAATTGGAAATGGTATTCAGAGACCACCATCTGGGAGGTTAGGGATGCTCATGTTGCTATGGATTAGTCATCGTTTCCAGGCCTTTTCAGGTGGACAAAACTAGTAAGCTTTTTTTTAATTTTGAGACAGAGCCTTGCTCTGTTGCCCCAGGTAGAGAGTACAGTGGCATCATCATGGCTCACTGCAACCTCAAACCCTGGTTGCAAGCATTCCTCCTCCCTCAGTCTTCCAAGTAGCTGGGACTACACGTGCGCACTACCACGCCTGGCTGATTTTTCTAATTTTAGTAGAGATAGGGTCTTGCTCTTGCTCAGGCTAGTCTCAAATTCTTGAGTTCAAGCAA